CCTGGCCAGGCGCACCGATGACCTCGTCCCTGTCACGAGGCCCGCGGCCGCAGGCACTGAGCAGCCGCCCCTCACCGACCGCGAAACCGAGCTGTCCCAGTCTATGGCCGCTCTCCAGCAGAGGTGTGCTGCTCTCGCCGCCGACCTTGCCGCTGCTCAAGCCCGTCGAGGCCCTCTGCTCCAGCGCCTCCACCGCGCCGGGCGTGCCTTCGCCGAGCTGCTTACGCCCTCGCCCGATGGTGCTGCGCCGCCACTCACCCTCCAAGCTATGCTGTCATCGCTCCGCGGCGCTCCGCCTGGTGCCCCGCGCTAATTTCCTCCTTTCTGCCTGCCCGTGTGTACGCGTGGCTCCGCGTCCACGGCGTCAGGGCGTGGGGGCGGGGGGTGCCCCGTCCCTGCGCGCCGCTTTGCGGCCGAGCGCCCAACTGGCGGTCTGCCAAACCGCCTAGCCACGTGTCAGCACGTCGCCTTCCTTGTTGGGGCCTCTTTCTTCACGCGGTCTGACAGGTGAGATCTTCACCGTCTGTCCGCCGTCTGTAGCGTCTGTCGCACTGCGCCGGGGGAGGGGTTTTTTGTTGCCCGCCCTCGTATCTAAAGGCTGCACCGCCGCAAATAGCGCATGCGAGTTGTCGCACCGCAGTGCGGAAAGCGGCCGAAAAACCCTGGTCGTGACTGTGTCGAACGACGCCAGCTCTCTCTCTCTCTCTTCTCGCTCTCTCTCTCTCTCTCTCTCTCTCTCTCTCGTCTCTCTCTCTCGCTCGCCCGTCGCTCCGATCGCTCTCGCTCTCCATCTCTCTCATCTCTCTCTCTCTCTCTCTCTCTCGCTCAAATGGATAACGTACTAAGAAAGAATGAGCTCAAGGGGAGAATACAGAATAAGACAGAAAGACAGGGCTCGCCGCTCGCGCTCTGCGCTCGCGCTCGCGCTCGCGCGCTCTCTCTCTCTCTCTCTCTCTCTCTCTCTCGCTCTCTCCCGCTCTCTCTCTCTCTCTCTCTCTCTATCTCTCTCTCTCTCTCGCTCTCTCTCTCTCTCTCTCTCTCTCTCTCTCTCTCTCTCTCTCTCTCTCTCTCTCTCTCTCTCTCTCTCTCTCTCTCTCTCTCTCTCTCTCTCTCTCTCTCTCTCTCTCTCTCTCTCTCTCTCTCTCTCTCTCTCTCCTCTCTGCTCTCTTCGCTGCTGGCTTCTGGCGGAGTCTGGGTTAGGTGAGCCTGAGTGTGGGTGAGTCTGAGTATGGGTACGTCTGTGTGTGCCTGACTCTGAAGAAATGAATCTGAGTGTGAGTGAGCTTGTGTATGAGTGAGTCTGGGTGCGAGTCTGAATCCCAATGGTGCCCCTGGCAGTGTCTGGCGACTAGGAGGCCCGGGTCGACTCCTCTTTGGGAAGCCAAAATGCTGCCCCTGGCAGCGTTTGGTGACTATGAAGCCCCTGGTGGACCCCCCCTGGGGCTCCCATATGATGCCCCTGGCAGCGTTTTGCGACCATGAGGCTCTCAAGAGATACATGTTGGGGACGCCAAACGGCAATTCTAGCTGAGGCGTCCCACCAAAATCGGCGCGAACGGGCTCGTGAGATCAGCCAGGGTGGCTCCCCCTTGGGGCTCCCAAATGATGCCCCTGGCAGCGTTTTGTGACCATGAGGCTCTCAAGAGACACATGTTGGGGAGGCCAAACGGCAATTCTAGCTGAGGCGTCCCACCAAAATCGGCGCGAACGGGCTCGTGAGATCAGCCAGGGTGGCTCCCCCTTGGGGCTCCCAAATGATGCCCCTGGCAGCGTTTTGCGACCATGAGGCTCTCAAGAGAGACATGTTGGGGAGGCCAAACGGCAATTTTAGCTGAGACGTCCCACCAAAATCGGCGCGAACGGGCTCGTGAGATCAGCCAGGGTGGCTCCCCCTTGGGGCTCCCAAATGATGCCCCTGGCAGCGTTTTGCGACCATGAGGCTCTCAAGAGAGACATGTTGGGGAGGCCAAACGGCAATTTTAGCTGAGACGTCCCACCAAAATCGGCGCGAACGGGCTCGTGAGATCAGCCAGGGTGGCTCCCCCTTGGGGCTCCCAAATGATGCCCCTGGCAGCGTTTTGTGACCATGAGGCTCTCAAGAGAGACATGTTGGGGAGGCCAAACGGCAATTTTAGCTGAGACGTCCCACCAAAATCGGCGCGAACGGGCTCGTGATATCAGCCAGGGTGGCTCCCCCTTGGGGCTCCCAAATGATGCCCCTGGCAGCGTTTTGTGATCATGAGGCTCTCAAGAGAGACATGTTGGGGAGGCCAAACGGCAATTTTAGCTGAGACGTCCCACCAAAATCGGCGCGAACGGGCTCGTGATATCAGCCAGGGCGGCTCCCCCTTGGGGCTCCCAAGTGATGCCCCTGACAGCGTTTTGTGATCATGAGAGAGTGTGAGTGAAATCTCTTGTCTTAGCTTATCTTATATCAACTCATCTTATCGCATCATATCTTGTCTTATCTTATCATATCAACTCATCTTATTACTCCATAGGCTGTCTTATCTATTATCCTACCTTGTCATATATCTTATCTTACCTAACATAGCTTGTGCTATCCTATCTTATCTTGTAGTATATTATCTTGTCTTGTCTTATCTGGTGATTATCATTGGGAGGAGGGAGGCGCGAGCGGGAGGAAGGAGGAGCAGTGGGAGGCGTCAGAGCAATAACAAGAACCCCAATCCTTAGGATATGGGGGAAAAAACAATGGCGGCACCACGTGATATCGGACAGGAGCGCGTTCCCACCTAGCGAACAAAATGCACTCGCTAGCGGCCCCGCTCCCACCGACTTGGAGAGGGGAGAAAAAAACGGGCCGCGCACAGGCGGGAACAGAACTTCAGAAAATCCTCGCGCGGCGCTGCGGCGAAAACACCATGTAGCCCTCTCGCGGGCGGCTGAGCTTCCTATGGGCGCGGCGAAGACGAATAATGCACCGCGCCGAAACAACACTGCCACTTTCACGCGCCAGCTGCGCGGCGTTTGGGCGAAGACGGCACGTCGCCCGCTCTCGCGCAGCCCGGCCGCCGCTGCCGCTCTCAGTGCACTTCGGCGAGCGAGCCATGCGCCGCGCCCATGTGGGCACGCCATTTTTCGGCGAAGTCTACACGGGGCTAAGCGAAGGCGACAGGTCGCCCGCTCACGCGGCCCCGCGCCCAAAGGAATGGCGAGTGTAATCTCTGCGCCGCGTCAAAACGGGAACGCCACTTTCAGCCGACATCTGCGCGGCGCCGAGGCGAGAACGACAGTGCCGTTTGCTCGCGCGTCAGCGAAGAACGATATCTCGCCCATTCGCACCAGATATGCGCCCGTCCACGTCGCATTTCGCAACGTCGACGACAAGACGTCCATGTTGAAAGAGAAAACGTTGATTTTGCGTGGGCTTGTGATTGGTAGGGTGGGACCTCCCGGACCCAGTTGCCATCTGCGAGCTAGGTGGACTAGTAGGAGTATGCCTTCTCGTAAGGAATAACGACAAGGTGAGCCAGGTCAAACGAGTCAGCGGGCCACGTCCGTTGCTACCTTCCCCTTTGCACTGTACAAACCTCGCCCAAGACCACATTTTGGAGCCACCACGACCCCCCAAATAGCCGCCGAATGCCAGAGGAGTTGCGCGTTTGTTCGCTTATTTTGGGAAAACATGCGACGCTAGGCGCGCAGGCCCGCCTGCAGCGCCCCTCGACGAGCATCAATTTCGAACCAAACATCACCGCGGCCGTCGCCATCATCACCGCCAAGACCACAAGAAAACAAACGTTACAATCAGCATCGCGCTGAGGGCACGTCAGCCTGCGTCGCCGCACATCGACTCTTTGCCACAGCCGAGTGCTGCGTGCTCCCAGCAGCATTCGTCGACAGCTGTCAAAAGCAAAACCGTCGGCGCGCCGCCGAAATTGCCGCCGAAATCACCGTCGAAATCGCCGTCGAAATCGTCGCCGAAATTGCCGCCGAAATTGCCGCCGAAATTGCCGCCGAGATAATTGCGAACTCCGCCAAAATAGCCGCCGAAATTCAGCCGCCGAAATCGCCGCCGAAATTCAGCCGCCGAAATTTTCATTGCCCTGTCCCAAGCGAAACGATTGCTTATTAAGCACGATGACGCCGCGGACACTGGCATTGAGTCACAGCCAAAATGAATTTCCGCCTATTTTCGGCGGCACAATCAAGAATTTTGGCGGAAATTTCGGCGGCAATTTCGGCGGCGATTTCGGCGGCAATTTCGGCGGCAATTTCGGCGGAATTTCGGCCGCAATTCCGGCGGCGATTTCGACGGCTCTTTCGGCGGCCCTTTCGGCGGCAATTTCAGCGGCCCTTTCGACGGCTCTTTCGGCGGCCCTTTCGGCGGCGCTGCTTTTGCCAACTGTCGACAATGGCTGCCGGGAGCTCTCGGCACTCGGCGACCCCAGCGAACCCCGAGAGGGCCCCCTCGAAAGGCCTCGCCAGACAGCGTCTGCGAAGTAGCTCAAGCCACGCGTAATTGGCACGCGATAGCATGCGCAACGTGCAGAGCGAATGCCTAGCATCATGCGTCAGCACGCTCTAAGATGCATCGGGAAGCCACCGCGCGGCAGGTCGCGCTTCCATACTGAAACCATCAAGAAAAGCTCAATTTCGTTTGGAATGAATTTCGGCGCGAGCCCCTTTTCGTCTCCAAAAAAAGAGCCACTACGACAAACCATTGGTGACACAACATGATATTGGGAAGGGAGCGCGTTCCCACCTAGCGAACAGAAGGCGCTGCCGCGCGGCCCCGCTTCCGACGACTTGGCAAATGGGCAGAAAAACTCGGGCCGCTCACGGGCGAGAGCGAAACTGCAGGAAGTCTTTGCGTGGTGCTGCCTCGAAAGCACCACTCAGCACTGTCAGCCGACGACGGCGACGGCGACGGCGACGGCGACGGATGCGATCAAGACGGCGACGACAGCGACGACGGCGACGACTACCGGCGGTGGCGGCCGCCCGGCGGCGGCGGCGACGACGGCCGGCAGCACCAGTTCCCTAGCGACGGTCGGCAAGCAACCGAAGACCGAGTCCAGCACGCACGCGGCGATCGCCGGATCCTGACTGGCCCGCAGCACCGCCGTGGCCGCGCCCAT